ATATATGTATATATATATAAAATTTAAAACACACCAATCAAAATAACCCCAAAGTTTATGTTTCTAGGTTTAGCTCAACACTAATGAACCCTAGATGGTAAGGGACTCTTGAGAGTTCAATGAAAAAATTCTGCAAACTAGATTTCAGACCTCATAATAGGAGTTTATATGGGGGAAGGAATTGTATATAAATACATATGATCAAATATGTGATGCAGCCTATTTACTTATAAGTATACTTCACAGAAACATGAAAATTTAAAGATAGATACAAAGCTGTTTAGTGATAATTCAATTTAGTGCCTTTACTTAACAAAGTAAATGAAGTCCATGATAGTGAAATAATTTTTCTGAGAGCTATAGGCAGATCCAGACCCTGGGTTCCTGGCTGCTGACTCGGTACTTTCCCAATGACACACATTGCTTTCCTACTGCATAGCCAAACCTGCTTTGGATGCCAAACTGTTGATTTGAGGCAAGCCACCATAAAAACAACACCTACCAGGTACAATTACTATGTCGTCTTCTATACATGAGAATAACACTTTCATTTAATAAATAATGAACCCTTAGGTTTCTACTTAGTTTCACAATTATTTAAAGTCTACTCCTGGAATAGCAAAAGTCCCGGATATTGGGCTGAAGTTCTGGGAGTATGAGCCAGGAATAGCATTAGGTAAGGAGTGGGCCTTGAACTTCTAAGTTGGCAAATGGGGATCTCAGACACAGACAACATCCAGGTCATAATCAGAAATGAAAAAGATATGTGGAGTATCCCAAATCATTGCAAAGGGGCTGTGCAGAGTAAGAATTCAGAAATGAGCCAAACAATAATACCTGGCCAGGGTAAAACATTTCAGGAGGAAAAAGTGGCAGGAAGTCAGTACAGGCATTTCTGTGAGGCACATGCAGCCTCATAGAAATGGGGAGGAAAACCTTAAGAACACTGAGCCTGCATTGACAATCATACTAAATGCAGCCTTTACAATACTGACTCAGTTTCAACATGAAGTTGGGCATCAAGGAATTGACAATATATTTGCTATCATCACTCTTTTTCTGTAAAGAAGTCAAGAGTCCTAAACCTGGAATAAGAAAAATCAGAGTTTTGTTTCTGCAGCCATACATGTTAGCTGTGGGGCTTTAGGTAAGGTTACTGAACTTCTTTGAATCTCACATTTTCAACTGTACATTGAGTTATTTCAAGGAAAATAAGATGATGAATATGAAAGCATGTTGTAAATTTACAAAAACTCCAACTCATTATTAATCTTAAGTTTTTCTCTTATAGCAAGAAACTATAATCAGTCACATAACTAGACAGTTCTGTGTTTTTGTCATAGATGTACATATCTCCTCCAGCATTCAAGGACCCTATGCCAAATGTTAAGCTTTATCCTAATACATTGTTCCTACTATAGCTAAAACATATTACACACACATGCGCACACACACACATACACACACTTTAAAAAAATCATTTAAAGCTTTTGGCAAAGACTTGGACAATCATATATATGGTCAGATGAGGTTCTGAAGTTATTTAAAATATGTTGAGTGACAATAAATCTAATGTAATGGAGAGAGGCAGGCTTGGAGCCAAAGGTGATAAAATCCTAGACTACTTCTATCGGTACATATAATGAAAACAGAGTAAATGACTAGTATAATAAAGAGAGTTTTTTTTCCCTCCTTTTGAAAAACTAACTAGTGGTCACATCACATCTCATGAAATGTATTTGTTTATATCTATAATCTTGAGCTCTCAGTTCAATGCAGGTACATAGCAAAGCTTACAAAAATAATTGCTGATGAAACAGAAATATCCCCGCATGCACTTGATATATATAGATATGTGAAAAAGAAAGGTATATTTTTCACAGTTATTATTCTAAAATCTTCCCAATCTTAAATTTGTTCATATAAAGCCAACTTTGATTTCAGTGGAAAATGATTTTTGATAGTGTTTTGAAATTATTTTTGAGAACTCACTCTTTTAGCAGCATTCATACAATCTTTTTTGTTCTAGCCTTGTATAAGTCATTATGACCAATGCTTTTTCACATTCCAAATACCTATTAACCCTAGCCTTGTCCTGGAACATTAAGGACACCCACACATTTCAATTCAGATGACAGATGTACTATTCATAATAG